GGTAGCGCAAGTAGAGTAGGGGCGTTAGGGGACGAGGGTAGTTGGATAGTTGAGGGCAGACTCCCTCGGCAGCAGGAGGAATGATGATGGTGAACAGATCTTCAAAATATTTTCCTCTTCCCTCCAATTTATGCATGTTTAGCTTCAGCCCATTGCCTTTCACCCACTTGCTGGTCTTGGCCAGTCACCAGATGAGCGAGGGATAAGGGATTTGGTTGCAGATGAGACAATGCCCCCTGCACCATTGTCTGAGCGTGGCCTGAAAGCCAGGATTGATGGGATTTTCTGTATTAATTCCTGTTACAGAAGTGCTAGATATTATTGGGGGAGGGGGAGGTGTTTTAGGGTTTTATTAAAGAAACTGTCCATCTAAATGGCATTGGCTAAAAACAGAAAACTGAAGATTCTGGGCTTTCCTGTAAGGTGTATGAAGTCTGTTCCTTCAAACGTGAACATTTCTTCAGCTGTTGCCTCGTGTGAGGTTCATTTGCAAAAAAAAAAGGCTTCAGCTGGGAACAGTGTGATAATGAGAAGAATGTCCCTAGACATCTTTGTAGTCTATATACTTTTCACCTACTAATTACTGATCACTTTTCCGAACTCATAAAAGCACAGGCAAGCAGATAAAGCGCTCAGTGCCCTGTGGCCTGCAGAAGACAGAAATAAGTCAGGCCAAGGGCATATTGAACAGGCAGCCACTTACCCAATCCATGGCCAGTCTCCTAGCAACAGGCCACAGCATTCAACAGAGCCCATCTGTTTACCAATATTTCCAATGAAATTGTCTCAGGGTTTAAACTGCCACCAGCTAATTTGTGGGTGGGAGAGAGTTAAAATTAAATTAGCAATTGATTTATGTTTGAAGGCCACTTGGATGCTGTTGAGTTGAATGCCTTTTGGGGTTTTAACCCTTTGGTGCCTATCTGGAACCAAAGGACTTTCTGGTGTAATTCAATAGGGCATTTTGCTTTAATTCCAGGGATACCAGCTCAAGATCTCAACAAGTTGAAAGGATTACAAAGGCCACGAAGTTGGGTCAAACTGTAGCCTGAAATTTAGATTTCGTAAAAACAAGATTTTACAAAAACCTCAGCACCAATACTTGCATCTTTTGAATTTTTTTTTATTTTGGGGAAAGGATTTGTTTTTTAAACAAATGAACATTTCAGCATCCCACTAAAATCAGAACGTGGAGACAAAAGCAATATTGGACTGGTTTATTTTAAATTGTTCAAACTTAGTGAGATGGAAAGAGCAAGCAGAACAGCATAAAGTGTAAGAAGTAAAACTAGATTTAAAAAAAAATCTTTTCATTTCAAGAAATCTAGTGATATTTTAAATAATTGCCAACTCTCTAACCGGACAGAATTTTAACCCATCATCTAAGAGAATTAGCAGTTGCACTCACTGCCATAGCACCCCCTATTGTCAGAGCTTCTCATTGCAGGGGTTTCAGCCCTAGCTCCCCATGTCGGCAGTCTGCCTTTGAGCATGATTCAGTACTCCAGCTGAGAAGCATCTAGTTCAGATCCCTTACAGGGTAAGAGAAATTCAAACTAGCATCCAAAGTGTCTCAACAAATCAGCCCTTCCTCTGGGCTCTGTCTTCATGCCTTCTCCCCAACTCTGGTATTCAGCACTAACCCCGCAGTCCGAGTCTTCCTGAGGTGACTGTTCTCCTTCAGCCTCTGGCTCCGGGCCCTTCACAGAAGTCCCTCTGCTTCCTGAACTCTACCCCTTTTAAGAGGCCTGGCTGTCCATGAAGTTATCACTTGACATCTCCTAGTCCCACCCTCTCTGCCTGGGAAGCAATTAATTAGTTGCAGCACAGGTATAATAGATGTGATTAACTGGCTCTTATCCCTTTCTCGCCCATAATGGGGTTTCAGCCCATCACCAAGAGATGGTCACAAAGAGAGCAACTATAAAACATTCCTTAAAGCAAGAAGTGAGGTTTAGAACAGAAGAAACCTAAACATGCCAGCACAGAAGAAAGTGAAAGGATATGAGGGCACAGGGCTAAATTCTCTGCTGGTTTAAATGGCCATACCATTGAGGTCAATGAAACTGCACCAGTTTACACCAGCAGGGAATTTGGTCCTCAGTGTTCCCTGCAGGAGCCAGAGGAAATGCAAGGCAGAAGGAGTGTTTCTCCATGCAAACTCACATGTCACAGCAGCCGAGAAGCAAGAAGGAACAGAACAGCTGGTGGCTAGAAGCCTCTAGCAGCAGAAAACAGGGAGCAAGCAGTCTTCGCTTAAATGCTTTTTCTGGAGCCCACTGTGTGCAAAACAGTCACCTACCTCTTACGGCACTCGTTTTTTATAAGCACAAAGATCGTAAACAAATGTTACAAACCACATCCATACAACAATGGCCAAAGCTGCTCCTTTTTGCTGTAAGCTCTCCTGCAGATATTATCCTTGTCCTACTCACCAATGGGTAGTCAAGACAACACCCTATAACAAGGATAGTGCATGCACTGGGGTCCTCTGTATAGACACATACATAACCCTGCTGTAATGGGGGCCCACACCTCTAGAGCATCCCCTCACGGCCCAGTGCAGTACAGCCATTACATCTCTGCCTTAGTTTCCCCAAATGTGGCTTTTAATAACTCCACTGAAGCTTGTTTTTGAACAGCGCCCTTCCAGAGGTGTCTAGTTTGGATCCAGTTGCAGACATAAAAGTCATATTGTATATTAACACCACCAGAAAAACCTACCTGAGAAAGGAGTTTGTTGTCATCCTCCAACAGTTTGACTTTTGTTTCAAGTTGCCTGATGTAGTTGGAAGATGAATCTTTAAAGGGAAGAAGAAAAAGAAATAAGATTAATCTCCCTGTGACACGGTTCTTTAAAATCAGTAATATAGTTTTACCATTAGACTCATTTTTACTCTCACTGGAAGATAAGCTTAGAAAAGAGCTAAAGAACCATGCTCAGGGGTCACAGCTGGAGAGTCTAATGCATTAACAAAGAGGAGGAGACGGATACAGGAACACTTAAAACCTGAAGTACGCACACGGATGAACATACACACCCAAAGAATTCTACCAGTGAGATCTGATAGGCTATTCTAAAAACACATGGAGTTTGGCAGAAATAATGGTAGGGCAACAGAGTATAGTAGTCTCACATAACATGGTAGTGTTCAGTTTGGGGAGTTTAATAGACAGTTTAGCATTACAGTAAAACAGCACTAGGGATTAGGATGACCTGGTGCCAAAGAGCTCTGTGGGTGGGTTGCTGCTGTGCAGAACATCTGCTTTTTGTTTTGGAACACACTTTGAAGCAACACATATTGCAAATTGCACACAGAGAAATTAAAGAGTGGGCAAAATAGTTGCACCAGCTTCATCACAATGTAATTATTTGCAGGACAAAATTCTTGCACACATTAATCTGTCTGTAACATTTCAAATTCATCTGCAGTTTTAATAGCAGGGCGTATAATCTGTCTGCGGTGAGTTTTGCAGCTTAAGCAAGTGACTAACCTGAGCAAACTCTGTTCTGAGTGTCAAAAGTACTTTGTAAAATGGAGAAGATAGAGCACTGGACTGGGACACAGGAGATCTAGGTTTTATTCCCACCATGGCCACTGGCCTGCTGGGTGACCTTGGGCAAGTCACTTCATCTCCTTGTCTCTCAGTTTCCCCATCTGTGAAATGGGGATAATGATACCCACCTCCTTTGTAAAGTGCGTTGAGATCTACAGAGGAAAAGTGCTATATGAGAGTGAGGTACTAGTATTTACTGTGAAATGGTGCAAAGCCACTATTCAACCACAATAGTTCATACTGGGCATGAATGAGAGAAGAACTGAGCACCCTGCAACCGCACCGATTTTTGTTGTACTTTGGAGATACTGAGCACAGGCTCAGACCCACTATGGTCTAGCAAGATGCAGTTAGTAAGAGATTTTCATACATGATCTTCCAAGGCTCATTCCTATACAAGGCTGAACTGCCTCATCTCTCACTGACGTCACTGGATGTTGAAGTTGTCCAGCACCTACCAGAGGCACTCAGCACCTTGCAGAATTCTTGCCAGGCCATTCTTTACGCAGGTTTTTCAGATCTGCTAGCATGCAACTACGGCTAATATCTTAAGGTGCTTTGACTATTCATGGGAAAAACTGAAATATGCCAGACGTGCCACACTGCACACAAAGGAAGTGTAACAACTACTCAGACAAGATATATTATATTCAAGTACTGTATCTACTTACAAACTCCCCCGGATGACATGTATTGCTTTTGTTTAAAACCGTTTTGTATGAAACAAGTAAATCCAAATATTCCTCATAACAAAAACAGAGGATAAGAAAAGGCAATTTCAAATCACATACATCCTCTGAACAGGTTAAATGGCCTTAGAATCCATACAATACCACTTTGAGATGCAATGCTGTCAGAGTTCACAAACTAAACAGGCCAGGTTTGAACTTGGCTGGGAATGAACAACAGGGCTTGTCTACACTTACATTTTATAAAAAGAAGAACAGGAGTACTTGTGGCACCTTAGAGACTAACAAATTTATTAGAGCATAAGCTTTCGTGGACTACAGCCCACTTCTTCGGATATGCATCTTCTTTTTGCGGATATAGACTAACACGGCTGCTACTCTGAAACCTTACATTTTATAGCGCAGCAAGTCTGAGCTCTTTAAAGTGCTAGTGTAGACAGGCTCTGAGCACTCGGAGCTATTCCCCTCGTGGAAATGGATTACCAGGAGCACTGGGAGAGCTCTCTCCCAGCACTCATGCCCGACCACACTTACACTTCCAAGCGCTGCCATGGGAGTGTTCCCGAGGCAGCGCTTTGAAGTTTCCAGCGTGTGTAGACATACCCTAAGAGCTGCTGTAAGAAGTGATTTGCATGGTCAATAGTTGGCAGTTTCCCCTCTGAGGCCTCAATTCAACAAAGCAAACAGCTTAAGCAAGTGTTAAAGTTCCACTAAAGTCAGGGACACTTCAGCACATGCTTAAGTACTTTGCCGGAATCAGGGGCCAAGGTCTGAATTAGTAATGTCCCTGTGGTCCACCACAGTGTTAGGGGCACTGTTTTGTTGTGACATCTTATGATCATTAAAAAAAAAATCTTACAAATTTTACCTTGAGAATATCAGGAAGCACTTGGCCAAATTCCAATTTTGCTTCCCTAAATTCAATCTGCAGCCCTGATTAGATATGTTATTCTTCACTTTCTGCCACACATGGCTTCACAGAGTTTCTGTGCACTGTTAAATAAAAATTTAGTGCTAGAGGTGAATCTGTTTCAGCAGTGAGTGACGTGATCTATGTACATACAATCCTGAAAGTTTCCACTAGGTTTCAGACATCGAAAGCTGTGGAAAATGAGTGGTTTGGAAAAGCAGGATGCAATGCAAAACTCACTTGGCTGCTAAAGGATTACCTGTGATTACCTGCAGATCAGCTATCACTAGACTGGACATATTTTGTACATCCTTTTGATAAATATGTAAGCTACTAGGATGAGAGGTAGTATATAATGCTATAGCAGTAGTTCTCAAACTTTTGTACTTTCACAAAGCAAGCACCATTTAACACCATTATAAATGCTGGGTGCAAAGCAGGGTTTGGGGTGAAGGCTGACAGCTCACAACCCCCCATAATATACTCGTGACCCCGAGGGGTCCCGACCCCCAGTTTGAGAACCCCTGCTATAGAGGCTCGATATATGCACAGCTGGCTCAGATGCAGGTATCAGCTACAACCATAGTATTTAGCAGGGTTTTTGCCTAGTTTCCCGGTGCAGGGTGGACTCTGTGGGAGACAGCCCTCTCTAGACAGACTAGCATAAGAACAGCCATACTCGGTCAGACCAAAGATCCATCTATCCCAGTATCCTGTCTTCCGACGATGGCTAATGCCAGGTGCCTCAAAGGGAATGAACAGAGCAGGTAATAATCAGGTGATCCATTGAGGCTAGGGACACCACCCTGGTCATCCTGGCTAATAGCCATTGACTGTCCCATAATTATTTATTATTATTTGTATTATGCCTAGAAGCCCCAGTCATGGTCCAGGACCGCTTTGTGCTAAGTGCTGTACAAAACACAGAGCAAAAAGACAGTCCCTGCCCCAAACAGTTTATAACAACAGATTTTTTGATCAAAGAACTGAATACTCCATGTCCACCATGGCCCGAGAAACTATGCTAGAAACCAGCTAGCAACACCCATGTTTAAACAGAGTTGTGGATATATACACCTGCATGGAGTGGGTCTAGGGTGACCAGACATTCCAATAAAATCGGGACTGTCCCGATATTCAGTTGTTTGTCCTGCGTCCCGACGGATGTATGGTCCGGACGCCATTTGTCCCGATATTTTGGCTGAGGGCTGGAGGAGTACACTGGTGAGCCCTTTTTTTATTTTTATTTTTTTGCGCTTGGGCCCTGTTCCCCCATGCGTCCCGATATTTTGTTCTTGTCATCTGGTCACCCTACTCAGAGGGTCCTCCATACGCGAGTTCTTTTACTAGGTTTCCAGTCAAATGGATTTGTCCCATGGCAGGGACAGTTTTTGAATACAGATACTCATAGAAAGAAAGAGAAAGTATTATTTCTTTTTTAAAATGATGCCTATCATAGGCCAATGGGTGCTTTCTAGACACATGCTTAATAGGGCCGTGCAACCCTGTGAAAGTCAATGGGAACTGTGGGTGCTACCATCTTTAAAATTCAGTTCTAAGATTTACAAGGACTCTAGTTCTCATCAGATGACACTCTGGAAAGTTGAGTCTGTGTTCAAATACAATAAATGAACCAATCTTTAAATTCTGCCCTCTGTAAGGGAACGCCAAATGACCGTAGTCAAATTAAACATAAAAAAACAAACAAGAAAAAGAATCAGCTATTTTGTTGTCAGCAGTAAATATTGCATCTCTGGCACTGCATGAGAAACACTCATCAGTACTGTCAGCCTCTGCATTGCACTCTCAGAGATTAATCACCAACATCTTGTGAACATTCTTTATTCTAGGTGGGTACCAGCTGAGCAGTTAACATCCTGATTTCAATTTTAAAAGACTCCATAACTCTCAGACCTGCAGGCAGTGTCACTCAAGCATTAAGCAGCAAAACCTATGCTGATTTTTCCGCTCTTTTAGATCAAGAACCACATTCCCAGAATTTTTCTGCCTCCGACCTTCCCGTTATCAGTAAATTTTCCACCACTACCTCCCCCCCAAAAAGCTTCATTTGAAAAAGGCATTGCAGACCCATCTGCTGAGCAGGAATGTTAATGGATCACACCCCCTAGCCAGAATCACTGTTAAAATTAAACAAATCCGCCCCCTCCCCCGCATCTCCATATTAGCTATGTCTTCAAAATTTATGGAATGCTTTAACACTCAGTCCAAATGCACATTCTTCTCATTGGTTTTAGTGGCTCAACAGAACCCCAAACTTCATACCATATAAACAGCACAGTTTAGGTCAGATCCTCAGCTGGTGTGAAGTGGCACTGATTTCAATGGCCCTACTACGTTTTACAAGAGCTGACGCTCTGGTGCCTTATTTTTTAGTTTAATCGCACAGATCTATTAATAGGCTCCATACATGAAGAGTATGCTGAGGAGGACGAGAGGGAGTTGTAGGGGCTGGGAAGGAAAGTGTCTTGTGTGGTCAATGATGCTATAAGGCAGAGGTAGTCAATAGGTGGACTGCGGGCCAAATCTGGACTGCCAGACGCTTTTGAACAGACCCTGAAATCTTTTTCTTTCTTTATTATCATTATTGGTAATTTAATTATTATTATTTTCTCTGGAGTCTGGA